TTGGGTTTAACCTAGTAAGTCTTTATTAGGTTAGAACAATAAGCTATAAGAATTTTAATACATGAGTATATATAAATTATATAGTAGTTTACATAAATAAAGGCAGGATTATTTAAATATATATATATATATTATAGCAATTTTATAAGTTATAGTTATTGTACAGCTCTGATGTAACAACCCGTATGTCACCTTTACTTCAATAAAAAGCCAATTTTAATATTATAGTTATGAAATATTAAATATAGATCGTTAAATCACTTAACAAAATAACTCAACGATCGTTAAGTTATTTAATAATAAATAACTTAACAATTGTTAAGTCATTTAACAATCGTTGAGTTATTTATCATTAAGTAACTTAATGATCGTTAAGTTATTTATTGTTAAGTGACTTAATAATAAATAATGATTAACAAATAAATAGATCGTTAAGTTACTTAATGATCATTAAGTAACTTAACAATCATTAAGTAACTTAATAATTGTTAAATTATTTATCGTTAAGTAACTTAATGATCTATTTATTTGTTAATTATTAAGTAACTTAATGATCTATTTATTTGTTAATTATTAAGTAACTTAATGATCTATTTATTTGTTAATTATTAAGTAACTTAATGATCTATTTATTTGTTAATCATTATTTATCGTTAAATCACAAATAAATAGATCGGTAAGTCACTTAACAATAAGTAACTAAGCATGATATGTTCAAATTTCAAGATATTATTAATAAAAAGTAGCAAAGAATATTATTTTTATTCAAATAATTTGAAAAAATTACAATCTAAAATTATAAAAAAAAATTATAGCCATTTATTGAAATAAATCAGCACCTTTTTGTATAGTAAAAATATAACGACTCAAGTTTATTGATATCACAACATTCTAACTATGAATAGTTAAAATATTTAAATTTACTGTATATAAATCATTATTCATGTTAAAGAATATTGCTTGCACTTCTTTTGTCTCAAAGGAAAATATTGCCCATAATCCAGCACGTACTACTTCATATAACAATTTTTCAAAATTATCAATTTCAGCATGAATTGCTAAAATATTAATATTTATGAAAAAACGTTGTCATACTTTCTAAATTAGTGAATTGACCTGTGTAAAAAGCCTCCACCTGGGTCACCTGACAGGTAAGCTATAAGTCACCTGGGTAGAAATTGGGTGGGTTATCTGATGGGTTATCTAAAGGTCATCCATGGATTATCTATGGATCACCTGACAAATCACTTACGGGTTACTAGTGCTTCTAAAAATAAAAAAAAAAAGAGTATTACTAGTATCGTGAAATTGAATTTCGTAGCAGGTACAAATTTATTAATCACTTCAAATTATTTTTGTGTTTTGAGAAAATATATATATTTAAAACTACTGTATAATTTTTATTTGATGAATTTTCCTTAAAACAAGATAAGATATTATGTACAGGCTTTGGTAGAAAGTCAATTTTAGTAAAAAAAAAACTTATACTTTTTTAGTGACTCCAAGTGTTCTCTTCTTCTCTTGCTTTTGCCAACCTCTTCAATTTTTTTTCTGAAAAAGTAAGCATCCTAGCTTACTCTCTCCAAAAGATCAGCATTGTTTATATTTACCAAATTTGGATAAACTTAGTAGAATGCAATCACATATTTGTTTTGTTTATCAATATAGTGCTACAATATAGAGAAGAGACTAGTACTTCTATTTAAGAGATACTGATTCTGGTGATATGTATAAAATAAGTCTAAAACAATAAGGCAAAGCTTTACAACTAAAATATACTAATTAGTTGCAATTAATATATAATTTTTTAGCCTTGCACAAGTTATAATAGTGCTATTAAAACTTTAGTTTTCTTTTTATATTTTTTTTTATTTTCAAAATCAGTATTTCTTTTTTCTTTTTTGTTTTTTTTTTTTTTTTCTGGTTATTTTTATAAAATATTTTTATTATTTTTTATCCTTTGTCGCATGCCTCTTAAGAAGAAGAAAAATTAGAAGAGAAAAAAGAGATTTTGACAAGACATACAATAGCTTGTCTGTGATTGAAAGGAGTAT